TGACATAGGTCGAAACCCAAAACAAAATGACTTAGATTGAATCGAAGTCTGAAATAAATAAGTTGGATTAAGCTGAAGAAAGATCTGGCATAGGCCGAAACCCAAAAACAAAATGACCTGGATTGAACCGAAATTTGAAATAAACAATTTGGACTAAGCTGAAGAAGGATCTGGCATAAGTCAAAATCCAAAACAAAGTGACCTGGACTGAACCAAAGTCTGAAATGAATATCTTGGACTAAGTCGAAGAAAGATTTGATAGAAGTTAAAATTCAAAACAAAATGACATGGACTAAATCGAAGTCTGAAAGGAATAACTTAGACTAAGAAAGATTTGACAAAAGTCAAAAAAAGATTTGGCATAGGCCAAAATCCGAAAATAAAATGACCAGGATTGAACCAAAGCTCGAAATGAATAATCTGGACTATTAGTGTAGGTTGTATTCGAAACAACTGTTGTTTTATTCTTGACAACTTCAATCATCTATGGGTTTGAACACCTCATTGTAAAAGCAAATGACATGTATACGTGAAGTATTATGAAATGCCAATTTCTTGGAATGCCTACATGAAATGTTAAGAGACATTGGGCCTATCTAATTATGGATAAAAGATTCTCAAGCTCTTCGTTGTTTTCATTTTTGCTTAAGTGATGAACCCTTTAACTTCTAAACATATTTGGTTAAGAAATCAAACTATCATTGTCTTTTAGCTTCGGCCAAATCGAGATCAACATTTCACTAAGTTTTCATTGCTCTCATTTCGCTTACCTATGTCGCTCTTGGCTTTCCAAAGTAATGAAGAAAATTTTCATATCATTGTTTATTTATTCATTATTATTTCGATAAAATGACAAATGTAAAGCAAATGCACATTTCTTTTGACCTGGGTAAAAGGGTAAAGAAAAAGGAAAATGAAAACAATAAAAGAGGTCAATGTTGACATCAGGAAAGAAATGGATTTTATTGATTGAATGGGATTGAGTTACAAAGATGGGCTAAAGTGGGCTGTCAAATAATCATGATCAAAGTAACCTAGAGTTCTCTTTCCAAAACCATCCACCTGGAATTCTTGATCTTGTTGAGTTCATCAAATCACACGCTCTTTGTGCCATGAAAGTAATATCTTAAACCTCTATGCTACCTTTTCGGACCTTTAACTTAGATATCCTCAAACTGCTCTTTCTGAGGTTTTTAATTCAAGGCCTCCCTTTTTGAAACTCAAACTGCCCTTTACGGGTTTTCAATTTGAGATCTTTTCTTATTTTTTTAATTTTTTTTTTTGTTTTATTTTTTTTTGTTCGAACTTATATCGCCCTTTACGGGTTTTCAATTTGAGCTCTTTTTCTTTTTTTTTTGTTAAGAAAAGTAATTTTTTCACAGCATTTGAATTTATTAGATTGGGCAAATCTTCTCCATCCATTTCTGTCAGGATTAAAGCTCCTCTTGAGAATGCCTTCTTGACAACATATGGACTTTCCCAATTTGGATTCCATTTTCCTTCATTGTTATGTTAACTTAGGAGAATCCTTTTCAAAACCAACTCTTCTTCATGAAAACATCGAGATCAAATTTTTCTATCATGCGCCCGTATCGTTCTCTTTTGGTATAACTGCCTATGACATAGCACTGTCAATCTTTTTTCCTCAATAAAATTTAATTGCTCGTAATGTTCCTGGATCCATTCAGCTTTTTCCAAATCAACTTCCTTTAAAATTCTCAAAAAGAAAATTTTTACTTCTACAGGTAGCACTGCTTCCATCCCATAGACTAAAAAAAATAAGGTTGCCCCAGTAGAAGTATGTACTGATGTTCGATAAATGTGCAAAACAAAAGTTAACTTCTCATGCCAATCTTTATAGGTTTCCATTATTTTTTCAAGATCTTTTTAATATTCTTGTTTGCTGTTTCTATTGTTCCATTCATTTTTGGATGGTAAAGTGCCGAGTTGTAGTGCTTGATCTTAAATTGAGCACATATCTCTTTCATCATCTTGCTATTAAGATTCTTAACATTATCTGAGATAATTTTTTTTGGGAGCCTATATCTACATATTACCTCTTTTTTAATGAACTTACACACCACCGATCAGGTCACACTAGCATATGATGCAACATCAACCCATTTTGTGAAATAGTCAATCATTATAAAAATAAACCTATGTCCATTTGAAGCCTTCAGTGCAATGGGTCTGATAACATCCATGCCCCATATTGAAAATGGCCATGGAGACGCTATGACATGCAGAGCATTTGGAGGGGCATGTATTTTATCTGTGTAGATTTGGCATTTATGACATTTTCTAGCATAATCTATATAGACACTTTTCATGGTCGACCAGTAATACCCTGCCCTTATAATTTGTCTTGCCATCATGTGGCCACTTGCATGAGCTCCACAACTACCATCATGAATTTCTTCCTTGATCTTTTGTGCCTCTGTTGCATTCACACATATCAAGAGAACTAGATCTCGATTCCTCTTATACAAGATATTCCCATCAATGAAGAAACCTATGGCTAATCTCCTAATAATCCTTTTGTCATTTTCAGTAGCATGCTCTTGGTATTGTTGATTCTTTATATACTGTAAAATGTCATGATACCAAGGCTTCCCATCAACCTTTTTTTCGACATTTGAACAATGTGCTGGAAATTCTCTCACATCAAGCTTTATGGGCTGAATTTCAACATCTGTCTTTACCTTAATCATAGCTGCCAATGTGGCTAGGGCATCAACAATTTGATTATCTTCTCTAGGTAGACGTTCAAATTGAATCTTCTCAAATTGTTTGACCAAGATAGTAACATACTTGTGATATTTTATCAGCTTTACATCCCTTGTCTCACATTCTCTTCTTAACTGGTAAATAACCAATGTTGAGTCTTCATAGACTTTTAGTATTTTGATTTTTCTTTCAATTGTAGTTTGTAAACCCATAACATAGGCTTCGTATTTAGCTACATTATTAGTGCAATTGAAGTTCAACCTTGCCATGATAGGGATATAATTTCCTTCTAGAGATATCAAGATTCAATGTCTGCGAAACCAGAACTAGGTTCGGGAGTGCAGTTACACGTGACGAAGGTTATAGCACTCCCACAACGCCTATCAAAAAATGGTACCAGCTCGATTTCGTGTTATCCATTAGCCTTAAAACCTTTACTAAGCAGTTAATTACTGAAAATTATTCTTAATTGACTTTAATACTTTTGGCAAAAAATTAAGAAAATCCCCTCATCTCAAAAGTATGCAAGAAAACTATTGTTTCTCTCACAGAGGCTTTGTCGTCGGATTATTTGATATTTTTTTTAAAAGGGAAAGAAAAAAGGAATAATGCTTTAAGCTTTTGATAGAAGTATTTTTATCTTATTGTTTTATAAAAAAAAAAAAAAAAAAAAAAAAACCCACATGCTTTTATTCAAGAAAAATTGATACTTTTCACTTTTTTCAAAAATGATTTTTCTTAAAAATTCATTTTTAAAAAATTTCAGCTTTCCTAAAAAATCCTTTTTGGAAATTTTATTTCAAGGAAAATTTGAGACTTTCAATTTTTCCTTAAAATATTTCCTTTTGACGATTTTATTTGAAGAAAAATTAATATTTTAACTTTTCCTTAAAGATATTTTGGGAAAAAAATTTTTTTTTATTCTTAAGAAAAATTGATACTTTCAACTTTTTTCTCAAAAACGCCTTTTAAAAATTGTTATTTTTAAAAAAAATTGATACTTTCAACTTTCCTTCAAAAATGCTTTTCCAAATTTCGTTTTAAGAAAAATTGATACTTTCAATTTTTCCCTCCAAAATAGTTTTTTATTAAATTGGAAATTTTTATTTTAAGAAAAATTGATACTTTTAACTTTTCCTCAAAAATATTTTCTTTTTTTTTTTTGCAAATTTTATTTTAAAGAAAATTGATACCTTCAACTTTTCCTAAAAAAAAATTTTTTTAGAATTTTATTTAGGAAAAATCATTGAAGATTTAAGGATGTTTAATTAAATAAGTAAATTAGCTTAATTTAGTCAATAAATAAATAAGAAAAAAATAATGATAATAATCAATAAATAAAATAAAATAAAATAATTCTTTGGCGGCTCGACTGAACGGCTCAACAAAGACGTGGCTCCAGAAACAAAATCGGCTAGAATGGCTTAGAGGTGGCTGAGCTTGATAGCTCAGCAACGGCTAGGTGAAAGGGTTGACGGGTCAGTGCGCAGCGGGTCGAGTCAGATCTTGACAAAACATATAGATCCTATCACTTTTAGCTCCCCGAAACGGCGTCATTTTTAGCTGATATAAAAGGCTTGAAATTTCACTTTTTCCTCAAACAGTTTCTTCTCTTCCTCTCTCTACTTTTGCCTCTCTCTCTAGGCGATTTTCAATCGCCATTTTCCATCGACTGTCACCGAAAAATTCATCGGTTTCTAGGTTTTATCGTCGGAAACTGAATTCGTTTGAAATACGTCGAAAAACTTAAATTTTCGTCAAAAAATTCACCGAATTTTGCAAATTTCTAAAAAATTTCCAAAAAAATGCAGAAAAATCCCAAAAAAAGAAATTGATTCCCCGATCGAAACACTGACTTCCCAAAAACTTTCTACTCTAATTACCTTTTATTTTTCACCACCCTTTCTCTGTGTTCTTTCTTCTGTGATTGCTAGGGTTTATATAGGGCTAGTTCTAGATTGAATCAGGGTTTAAAAATCAAAATCCCTCTACCTAATCTTTATCCTTGCTTTAAAAACGGGATCTTTTTATCCAGTTTTGAAATTCAAGTCTTGATAGAGTTTCACTAGAACTGAAACTCTATCCTTACTTATTATTATTCTTTATTCCCACCGAGAAAACAGATTTGGGAAGTGGGTGTCTACAGACTATGAAAATATATGCATTTACAATTGAGCTCAATACCAATTAGGAGGAGAGTTTGGAGACAACCATTTTCCAAATTGTGAAATCCATTAATATATAGTTTAAGAGAGCAGTTGCAAATGATCAATCACAGTATATAGGTTTACGAAGCCATTGCAGCAATCACACGGGCGAATCTATGGCAGAAGCAGACCCACAAATTTACCAAATATACATCGGAGATTTCACACGATAAAGTTCTAATATTACATTAACTAAAGATTCAAACACCGCAATAGGCTTTGATAGGACACTTGGATTTGTAACCCTCGTCTGTCCGGTAGAAGCGGAGGAGCCCCAAATGCTCAAAGGCCTTATATTTTAATGGATGTTCCTCGGCAACAAGCTCTTCAGGCACTTGAATTGTCCCATTGTTGAAAGCAAATAGCCCCATAGAATACCTGTCTGTCTTCCCGCTCATCACCACTTGGTGGCTAGGAGAAAGCACCCGATCATTGCTCCATGCCTAATTAAACCCCCCAAAACAGGATTGCAAATAATTTATATTAATGACTTTTTAATTCAATAAATTTATCCATTTTGACCAATAATTCATTTCATAAATTGAAGTATGGCTAATAAGTAATAAGCCTGCACCAGCTTTTAATTTTCTTCAGCTTACCCTGTCGTCAAAATTTTATTACTTTACAAAAATTTTAATACTTTTCACTCAAATCTCTAGCATAGGAAATAAATATGTGAATGTATCATTTGAGTGCAATATTTTAATACTTGTATCACTGTTCATAAACTAATTACTCCTTTTATTATTACACACATTGCTTTAATGAATCAATCACCGTGCTCTAGTAGTTTATTTCATTAAAAAAATTAAGCAGTTAGATTCTTGTGGTGGAATTTTAATCAGTGAATAGGAATGGAATTTTAAACCATTCAGAAACATTAATTAATTAAGCGTAAAATTAATGAAGAAAGCTCACCATTAGTGCGTCACCGGCAATGACGACAAAGGATGAAGGAGACGAGAAGTCTACGTTAATCCGATTTCCATCCCTCGTATCGACCTCTAGAGCATTGATCTGGTTTTGATGAAGTATGGTTGTGAAACTCTTGTCAGTATGAGAAACAAAGGCTAGATTAGGCTCATTCCCCCGGGCCGCTCGGTTCTTCAAGAGCCGGAGAAGGTAGGTAGTTGTATCAATATATGCATCATAATATTTCTTAACGCCATAGCTCTCAAATATCATTCGGGTCACCATTTGATCTAACTCGGCTGCTACCTTTGCATACTTGAAAATATATTCACTGATTACCAATAAAAAGCAAAGCACATTAGCAACAAAAAGATGTCGAAAATTTTCAACTGTCAGCATGTTTCAGTAGTCAGAGTCTAAATCTTGTATCAAATACCAATTACAATAAAAATAAAAAAAAGATGTCGAAAATATTAGTAAGAGAGAGAACATTTTGATGATTTATCAATACCAGAAGCGATCATTTCCCCGAGGCCACATTAGATTTGTGAAGAATTGAGTTGCGTCTAGAGTGGTAGCGTTGTCGATGCCCATGCTTTCATGTAGAGGAAGCTTAGGAATTTGTCCGATGTAGCCGTTCAAGGGTTTTTCGTATCTGTTTTTCATTTTTGTTTCTGTTGGGAGATCAAACAATTCTTCCAGGAGGGAGAACACTTGGTTGTGAAGTTCTAGTGGAAAATTATCGTATTCTACTATAAAACAACCATACTCTTCGAGGGCTTGTCTAACATTCTTGCACGCTAGTAACCAAGAGTCTGTTCCAGGCTTCAAATCTTCATCGGAAAAATGTAGAATAGGAAGATTGGGCGATGATTCGGAACCCATAATTAATGCCTTCGTCTGCTTCAAACTGGGCAAGATTAAGATTTCTCTAAATTTCCTGTTTCTTATAGGAACAACATTGCCAATAAAAGACATATGAAATCTAGATTACTTTTGACTGTGGAGGTTGAAATCTTGATTACTTTTGACTGGTAGAGGTTTACGTGAGAACTGGCAGCTAATCATATTATAATCAAAATTTCTTTGTTATAAAGAGACATAACAGAAATAATAAAATAATTTATTATATTAAATTTCATAAATATTATTGATTAAATCATTATAAAAAAAAAAAGTCAACAATAAGACATTGATAATAGAGATAAAAAATTAATAAATTTTATATAATGATCAAATTAGGAATTTGTTAAAAGTTTAGTATTAAAATAAAAAATTCTCAAAAAGTTAAATGATCAAAAGAATAATATGGTTTTTTTATCTCATTTTGTTTTCAAATTTTATAATATCATGTGGCACGTCATGATAATATTACATTGCATTTGATATATTAAACTTAAATTTTTATTTAATTGATTCATATAATTATTACTAATAAATAGTATCCAAAAAATTTAATATTTAAATTTTAATATTTATAATTTCTTTCATATTATTACTTTTTAATTTATACCAAAAAATAAAATATATATTGAAAATTAATTGCTAATAATTATATATATATATGAAATTGAAAGGACGGACCTATATATTATTAATTAATTTTTCTAGCTTTCAACTAAAGGAACAAAAATTAGAATTGACGACTCCCTTTAAAATAATACGAAGACAATGACTTTTGATTTATCTCTAATAAAATTACCAAACATAAGTTTTATTGGTTTGTGCAATACAACGAAAACATAATTTTATTTCAAAAAATATTATTTTAATTTATTATTCCGTACTAACCTTGTGCCTCGCTTTCAATCTTTGAAAGATCAATCAATACATATTATCATGTAATCCTGAGGGAATATTCCAGCTATTCAAGTTCATAAATTTTTTTTTTTTTTAAAGATCTTAAGTTCTATTAGCGATGCAATAAAATTCATTTCTAAATATTAACTTAATTAATTTATATAATAATATATTTTTAAAAGATTATATTTATTAAATTTAAAATTTTTTATTTAAAATTATTTTTATAAATTATATATATTTAATTCAATATCATATGTATATATACATATACAAAAGTTTTCTTGTAAATAAAGATAGTGCGAACCAAGCCGATCCAAACCTCATGCGTGCTTGGATCAACCATCAAATCTCATGACTCGTGTTTGCTTGGTCAATTTTTCATGTCACGTTAAGAAGAACAAACATTATTTACTTTTGAAAAAGACAAAACCATAAGAAATTCAAATCATTTGTCTTATTCCATGCGTCACCATTCACTCCATCTCCCTCAATTTTTTTTTCTAAGCCCAAAGGAGTTTCATTAAAATGCCAAAAGAGTTATAAAATTATATAAAAATTCAAAGATTATATAAAGGTTAGACCTATTCAAAAATCGAATTATCCAAAAGTCAACTTAAATTTTGAAAGAATTTTAATAAAAAATTAAAACCTATTAAATGGCTTTAGATATAACTTTTAGACTAATATAATTTTGAATCAAATTTTAAACAAAATATTTAAAATCTAAGTCTAACCCAACTCGAATTTATTTATATATAATTATATATATATGTGAATTATATAAAAATAAATTCACATATATAAAAATTAAAAATAAAATTTATATATATTTTATTAAACTTAATTTTTATTTTTAATTTATATATATGTGTGAATTAAATATAATATCATTAAATTTAATTTAATCACATTTGTTAAAATTTTTTATTATATAAATTAAGCTTAATAGGTTTATTTATGATTTATTTTTTTAATTTGGATGGAGCTTAAAAAAATTTTAAAATCTGAAATTTCAAATTTAATCAGATCGGACCAAATATATAAGTTAATAATATAAAATACAAATCCAACTCGACTCGACTTATATACACTTCTAATAAAAATTCAAAGAACAATTTATAAATAACTAAAAAATAGAGACATAAAGTATAAATTCAACAAAACAAATACAAATCAAAATTAAAAAATTTCACTAAATAAAAATTCTTACTTTAACTTTGATTTTTACTCTTTTAAGTTTTAAAGGTTGCTTTGTTGTTTGAATTTACCAAATTATATTTATTTTATTTTTATTTAATATTTTTCAAGTGATATTTTTGTTATTTACTAAATATGTACATATTAATAATTTATAAAACTATACTATAAAAATATATTTGTTAATTCTATATATAAAAGGGGCCAGGCGGGGACTATATATGCTACTCATCCTCGTCTCCGATGAATTAAAATTCCCTCACTCCTTGCCCTTTTTTAGGATTTGAATTTTCATACCTGATTTGGAGATATAAAATCACATTTTCTATTTAATACGAGTAAAATTAGTATTTCTTACTTTTTTTAAATAGGGTTAAATTAAAAACTATGGTAATTTACACATGTTAAATAAATTATTGTATTTGATAAATATTTTATAATTTTACGTGATAATAATCTTAAATCATCAAAAGTGATCATATCATTATCTTTGAGGATAATTTAATTTTCATATAAAAAGATGAAAAATTTTATCAACGAGATGAAATGATATTTTAAATTATCAATAATCAATATTGCTCATTTAATATATGAATTAAAAACTGATTTTTTTTTAAATTATAATTATTTTATATTATATATATTTTATATTTTTAAACTAATATTTATTGTAATAAGTTCAAAAATAATTTGTACGTTTTTTTATTTTTTAAATATTTTATATATAATTTAATTTTTATTTTTATTTAATTTTGAATTTAATAGATTTGATTTATTTTCTGATTCAAATATTTTTTACATAATTTATACTATAAAAATTAATTTATCTATCAATAAATATACTTATTAATTTAATAATTTAATTATATTTTATAATAAAATAAATAAAATATTATTAATATTTTACAAATTACTATCTTTAAACAATATTAAAATTATCAATTTGTATAACTATTTCAATATACATAATTATTTTCATACTATTAAATAAAATATTTTTTTATTTTTAATAATATCAAACAATTGATCTTTAAATTTTAAGAATTAATTATTATAAACAAAATAAATTAATTTCAAATCATAAGTGATAAAATCATTTTATTAATAAAATCATCTCGATTATACATTATTATAATGATCTTATAAAATATATTCAACATTATCATATAGTAAAAAAAAAATCAAAATCATAAAAAGTGCAAAAAATAAAAGATAATATCTATCATTTGTAGCACAGGACCACTTCGACTATAGGGCCACTAATAATTCAATGACCATTGATGATTGTTTGGTCTATCATTTTAGGGCTGCAAAATTGGTCCCCGACAAGAAAGACAAGAAAAAGATTACAGAAAGAAAATCAGCAATTTTGTCTTTTTTTTTTCCCCTAAATTATTATTAAAAAACCAGGATTTCAATATCTAATTAAAGTGATGAAAATATGTTATCTTTGAATGTCGTGATCCTGTATTCATTATCATTGTACTACTTCATAAATAATAATGTATGATAATGCAGACATGCATTCTGAGGTCAGTTTCTTAAAATTATGTGAACAAAATCATAAATATATGATCATTGATAGGGCAATTAATCAGAAAATAAAGTTAATCAAAGAAACTTTATATTTTCTCTATTGATAAATAAACCTTCATCAATCTTGTGTATTTGTCACCTTTCAGCACCTCTCTTTTCTTCATAGAAAATTGGTATAATCGTGTCAAAGAAAATTATGCATCCAACCAAAACTCATATGACATATGGTGGTCGGTAGATTTTTGGATTTTTAATTTTAATAATTAAAATTTAATCTCTAACGATTTTAATTATTAAAAAAATCAAGCATAAATTTTAAATTTAGGCCAGGTAAACAATTTTTAAAGCTTCCTGAAGGCAGGCTTAAAATTTTGGGCTAGATATTTAAAATTGAATTCAAGAGAAATTGGGCCATTTGTTAGAAATTTTCAGCTTGTGAGGGCATGGAAAAATTGCTATCTTAAAAATTTTTTTATAAAAATTTAAAATTTAATTCAATTGATTCGTTAAAAAAAATAATAATTTGACGTCGAAAACAAAGTGCAGTTTATATACCTCATTAGCTGCTGAAAATTTTAACTTTATGATTCCTGGTGTTGAAAACAAAAATGTTTATGCCAATGGAATGAATCCTCAGCCATGCACTTTCTTCCCTTATGATTTGTAAAAACATAATTACAAAAGATTTGGACTTTGGCACAAGAAATATTACATTTGTTTCATATGAATGAAAGAGTTTTTTTTTTTTTTATTGATTCATAGTTACATACAACAAAATCTTCAATTGCAATTAAAAGAATTTGAATCTTGTAATAAATGTATAAAAAATTTAAATGTCATACAATTCCATGGAAATATAACATACAGGAACCTTTGTTCTTGTTCCTTTCATAACACCCTAACACTTTACTTTAAGGATCAAACCAAAATTCTAGCGTCTTTGGAAATTAAACACCTTTATGGACACAGTAAAGATTGCTCCAAAGAGTACCGTGAAGCCAAGAATAACTGCTGCAACTACCCCCAGAAATTCATGTCTGAAGCCAAAAAAGTTTCTCAAATATTGTTCAACTGTCTCACCGTTGCCATCCTCAAGGGTATCTTGTAAATCTCCGAATTGTGAAACAACCAATCCATACAGGGTCCAAGATACTGGACAAATCCAATAGTACCATCTCCACCATACAGGAATGCTCTGTAATTGAAGGAGTTGGTAGAAAGTTAGTCTTCAGTTACATACCAAGAACTTGAAAAAAACAAAATTATGTGAAAGCAGCGCTTACAAGGCGTGGGATGATGAATCCTGAAAAGACATTCCATATTCCATAGAATGCTGAGGAAACTATGGA